TGAGCCACAGGTGTTGAGCCGTGGCTACAGTTCTAATCTGTGATATTTTCCCATCTTGTGCTCTATAATCTTATCCTCAGTGTAAAGTCTCACCTCCTTGTCCCAGCCTTTCAAGTGCTCTGAAACAGCTCAGTTTCAGCCTGTCCCCAGGAAGTTCCACTCTTTAGTACCAAGCAACTCAGCTAGGGTTTCTAAAAAACTTAACTCAACACCAGAACCTTCCCAGAAACTTGTAAAATTTTCAATGCAGATCTCCATGTCAAACCATTTACAAGACATTTTTTCACTAGTGGACTTGCCAATCTGGTATACCTTAAGAATCCTTGGATTTCACTTTTAAAATCCACCCCCTCCCCGCCCCACTTATTGAAACTTAGACACACAGATTCCAGAAAACAGTCACATACCTGAAAAATTTCGTCTTTATGCGATTCAAAGGTATGGAGTTTTAATTTTAAGTTACGCAGATCCCATAAAGCTACGGTCTGAAATGACAAATAAAAATTAATTTATCTCTTATAGATGATTTTTAAGACATAAAAAAGATATTTTGGAAAATATGTGATGTAATCTATAACATAGGAAGTGTTTTAAGAACAGAATGTTTTTCATCTCAAAAACAATATAGTTGGTGAAATGGAAATATGTTTGGTTTAGACAATTTCTGGACTTTATGTTTCTAATATTAATAAAAGCTGAATTTATTTTTGTGTCTACTGTAAAAAAATGAATTTATCTCTGTCCTTTACATTAAGAGTTCTGAAATACCTGATTAAAGCACAAGACAACCATAAGCACAAGACACATTTTGTGTAAATGATACACAAAAACTCTGAAACCTTATCCGCAGAGCCGGTTGCTAGAATGAACTCGCTGTAGGGATTGAAGGAGAGGCAGTTGACCTCAGCAGTGTGCGCATCCACCAAATGGCTTGGTTTGGAGGTGGTATTGGACCTGGTGTCCCATCTAAAACACAAAGGTAGACGGTATTCAGCACCCAAGGAGGACACTTGAGCCTCCCGAGCTTCTCACGCACTCATGCTTAGCTCCATGTCAGCATCATTCCACTCAGTACCATTGATACGTTCTAAACCTATAGAGAATAAACTTGGGCTGCTGTCTCTGATTTCTCTTTTATTATATTCCTTATTTTAATTACCAACTATTTCAAGCACTCACACAATATAAACTTTGTAGAGAATAATGTAACAATTTGCCATCTACACAAACCTTGACAAATTTCAGTATTTTGCCATATTTGCCTCAGATATTTATTAGATAAAATATTATACGTGGTTTAATGCATCCCTATGGATCCACACCCTGATGAAATCATTTCCCTCCCACACTTCCAAGTGAAGTCACTCTGGATCTCAGTTTGGTATTTACCACTACCAAGTATGTTTTCACATTTACATGGCTGTTTTCCTTTTTAAATAATAATCTATATTTATCCATACAGCACAGTAACTCTTATGTATAAAGGCCATTACATATGTGCACTTTATTCTATTTTTCTTTTTTAAGGCCATAACATCAATTAGACCACAGTCTACCACAATCACTGTCACCCATCTAACATAATCCCATTGAATTTTCCACCTTACATCATAAGTTTCTGATCATCAGCAACAGATCCAAACAATGACTCGTGCAGCAGATGCCAGGCCACATCCTCCACAACAGCTGAGTGGCCAGTAAAGATCGCTTTGGCATCCACAATTTTGCCTTCCTTTGGTCCTGCATTTATATCCCACAGACAGACAGTCTAAGGGAGAAGGGGGGAGAACAAAAGCTGTAAGAAACTAAACTCAAATGCTAACATTTAAAATACTTTCATTAGAAACAAAACTATTTGACTATATAAAAGTTAGAAATAAACAAGGGGGGGATATAAACAGTGTGTGTGGGTGCAGCCTTCATGTGAGATGCAGAAGGAAAGGAAACTCCACTGTAATGAGGGGAGGGAGAGACAGAATATGATGGTGGCAGGCAAGGACACTCTGGTTGAAGATTCTACCGACATACACATTCAGACATTCAATCTAGATGATATAGCAGGTACTCAATATATGCTGAACAAAAAACGCACGTCCTAAAATGGATGTGGAATTAGGAATGGACTAGGAATTAAAACTAAAATGTGCCTCTTAAATGCAAAATCCTTTCAGTTAAGTCTCTCACTGATCAATAATGAGTTAACATGATTGCTTTGCATTTGTGTGGTACTTTTAATTGTTAAAAAGTATTTTACATTAAGGGTGCCAAGAGATTCAATAGGGAAGACATTAGTCTGTCAACAAATGGGGCTGGGAAAACTAGATATTCACATGCCAAAGAATGAACTTGGACTCCCCCTTACTTTACACCATGAACAAAAATTAACTCAAGAAGGATCAAGACCTAAATGTAAGAGCAGAAAGCATACAAATCTTAGGCATAAGTCTTTATGAGGCTGGATTATGCAATGATTTCTTAGATACAACACCAAGAGTATAAGTGACAAAATAAAAAAAATACAAAAAATGGACATCAAAATTAAAACCTTTTGTGCTTCAAAGAACAAAATCAAGAATATGAGGATGGGAGCAGTGACTCACACCTGTAATTCCAACACTTTGAGAGGCCAATGAGGAACTATTGAGGCCAGGAGTTCAAGACCAGCCTGAGCAATATAGAGAGACCTCTATCTCTACAAAAACATTAAAAAATTAGCTGAGTGTGGGCAGCACCTGTGGCTCAAAGGAGTAGGGTGCTGGCCCCATATACCAAACGTGGCAGGTTCAAACCCGGCCTTAGCCAAAAACTGCCAAAAAAAA